AGGGAGAAAAAGAGGAAGGGAGGGAGGGAGGGAGGGAGGGAGGAAGGAAGGAAGGAAGGAAGGAAGGAAGGAAGGAAGGAAGGAAGGAGAGATAAAAGGAGAGAGACAGAGGAAACGCGTGCGCACGTCAAGGAAGCAGAAAGAGGAAGGGTCCCAAGATGAGGGGCAGGTCAGAGGTAATGGGAGTGGGCGTGGCTAGGACAGGGACCAAAAGAATAACATCCATGACCAAAGAATGACAGCTCATGTTGCCACAGTCTTCTTGGAATGTTCTATAATGAAGTGCATCCCTGTCCACGTCTGCAAAGAATATCCACCAACACAATGCTTGTTCTTTCTGCTGCGCAGTCAGAGACAGGATACAATTCATTGCTGGTACTTTCAACCTTGGTGGGACTTCTTCTTGGGGTCCGCCAGGATAACTGCACCCCAACAGGCGACAGCTGAAGAAAAAAAAATGCCTTTTTGGTATGTTGCATTTTAGTTTACTCAGCGCTCCGTGTATGCCATTTTTTAAACCACCGCATGGCTGAAAAGCAGATCACTCGTGCACCTTTCTTACCGGACTGTGCGGGGAAAGGCGCCCCCGCCCCTAACCTCCCACCACCTCCCACCACCGCAGCGCCCGCCCCTGCTCACAGACGCCGAGGAACATCTGCGCTATGGGGCCTGGTAGCATTGGGAATTCCCGATTCTTGGCCCTCAGGCCCACCACGAAGACGTAGGCGCCCGCCCCGATGAGCGTAGACCCAGAAAGCCAGCGACAGCTCTGGCAGTTTTGAAAAGGGGAATCCTGTGCGACGGAAGCTGGCGCGGCGGGTTTCGCAGGTGGGATCGCGGGGGGAGGCTTGGGATATTCGACGTGATAGGACGAGGAGGACCCCATGTCCGAAGAGTGTACCGCCGCCGAGCCTCTGCTTTCAACTGGCGTAAAATGCTGCCGGAAAGCAGGACGGTGGCGTAGCACCTCAGTGCTTCTGGGAAATGTAGTTTCGCCACGCAAGGATGCGGGCGGAACAGGGCGGAGCTGCCGCTGCCCCAGAAAGTTTTGGAGATTAAAATCTCCAAAAGTGCAGGCAGCGTCAGCCTGGTGTTTTAGACTACTTTCTGAAAGTCTATATTTCAGTCTCTAAGAAGTAGAAATATAGATCTGTAAGTTTCCTCACTAACCACAAACTAAGGTCCTGACATGAGGTCTAAGAATCAAAGACTACATTTAATACGTTCTTATCCAAGGGCTTACGTACAGCAATTCTGTGCATTCTGCTGTTTCTTTTTCTTTTCTTTTTTCTTTCTTTCTTTCTTCCTTCCTTTTTTTTTTTTTTTTTTTTTTTTTTTTTNTTTTTTTTTTTTTTTTTTTTTTTTTTTTGAGACAGGGTTTCGCTGTGTAGCTCTGGCGGTCCTGAAACTAACACTTATAGATCAGCTCACAGAGATCCGCCTGTCCCTGCTTCCCGAGAGCTGGGATTAAAGGCGTGTGCCACCACTACCTGGTCTACACGCTGGTTTTTCTCTAGAACAAAACTGCTAGTATCACAGAAGTAGTTATGAACCGCTCTTTTTAGACCAGTGAAGGCTCAAAGTTTTCAAAGTGTACATACTGTGAAAGAAATATACAGATATCATCAAGATGTTAAAAATGTGGTGTGGCTCCAAAACTACAGAGAAACACTATCTCGAACCCTACCCCCTCTCAAAAATGTTTGAATTCCTTGGATACTTTCAATCTCTCTGTGTTTATTAAAGATGTGCTGTCAAATTCAGGACTTTGGTTTTGTTCAAGAGAAAATTCGGTACAAACCAAGTTATTGACACCAGGAGAAAAAATGTTTCTACAGTTCTGCATTTTTATCATCCGGTCAGCATGAATTTTAAAGGGTTGAGGAGTTGGCTCTGTGGCTAAAGTGTTTGTTCAGCAAGGAGGAAATATAAATTCAGGCACCCAGAGCCCGCAGAATGCTGGGTGGGCATGACAGCACACCTGTAAAACTACAAATCATAAGATATTACCTAGCTCAGTTATCCCCGACTTTGAGCTCTGTATTCAGTTGATAGTCCTTGTCTTAAGATATAACATGAAAAGCAATACATGCACATCACACATATGCAAAACAAATGATTGTATCATTCTGACTGTATCTTTGCAAACCAACAGTTATCACCCATTCCTGTTCCAGCTCCCCTTTCTTTTCTCTGCTTACAATAGGCTATCCGTCTTTTGTCCTAGTTGATTTCAGGGGGTTATTTGTACAAAATAAAGTCTTAAGTAGGAATTTCCTCTGAATCGACACCTTCTAACTTGAAGGGAGGATTCTAAAGACTCGGGAAATAAGCCAAATATACAAGGCTCAGGAAAGAACATTCACAAGGCCAGCCTAAGGTTACATGTGCTATAAAAATTGCCTGGGAGAGGAGAATCTGACCAACAAAGTTGACTTACAAATTGAGCAAAGAGCTCCAGAGACACAGCTTTTGTAAATAATTCTCACACTAGGTGACCCTTGTAGCGATACAGGTCCCCTTGAGTCACCCATGCTTCTGGAAGCAACTCAGTAAATTTACTGTTCACTAAGCTCAGCTTGGCATCATTTCAGCAGTAGTGGTGTGTTCATCAGTGTCTTGTCTAGGATGAACACTTGTTTGTTCTTATCTCCCAGGAAGAGTCACAGGAGAACAATGCATTTTAGAGTTTGGATGGTTTCTTTTAGAGGAAATGGGTAAAAATAAAGTAACAGGTTTAAAAAGATTATTCATTCTGATTACCATTTAAAATGTATGTGTTAATAATGAATTTACTATTTAAAACTTTCTAAAATGAAATGTGATGTTTAGGAAGACTGAAAATGGAAAAAAATAAGGATGAGATATGTTTCTGCCAATGCAAAATGATAGATCAGACCAAATTAAAAAAAAAAACAAATAAATGCAGATTTATTGGGCATAACTCCTTGGTGGATTCACAGGTCCCAAAAAACAAGGCCAGAGAAGTCACATACCTAAACTAAGGCAGAGAACTTTTATCAACCTTAAGCAAGGGGTGATAACGCGCCAGCCAGAAGCTAGGTCCCTTGGTATGGGTATGTACATTGGTGCCATTCCCCTTTTCAGAGTTTTCTCAGTGTGGGTGGGGTTGGGGGAAGTAGTGTAGATGGGGTTTTCCAGCTTATGAAAGAGGGAGCAGGGGTTACAACTATACAATATGAATGAATAGATCACAAACTTGTGAGAAAACTGGACTGACTTGCTATTTAATAAGACTCCATTATAATTTGCATATATGCATACTTTCTGTAGCTATTTAAATATATATTTGTTCATATGTCTCCATATATTTTATCATAGAAAAATGAATATTCAGAAAGTCTTGGTTCTATACATCTGTGCTGCATGTCTATGTGATAGCCATGAAGCAAAGAGACTATTTCTAATGTTCACTGGACCTCACATTTCCTTGTGTAAAAATGAGTTTGGGGGTAGGTGCTAACTTTCTTGACTTAAAAACCTATGATTAAGAATCTCTTATCTATTAACATTCCACTACATAACTTACCAGATGATTCAATGTTATTTCAGTATAAATTCATGATTTGTGTTGCTGCTTTTCATTGTGTCTTTTTTATCATGCATGTAATTTCTTTTTAACATGACAGTGACTAACAAATGATGTGACTGTACACTCTTAAGTAAAAAGCATGTGTATAGTAGTATTATGCGTACTTGTTCATAATTTCTATGCAACTATGCTAACTTAGGAATCTAAGCAAGTAATAAAAATTTCGATATCTTTTACAAGCACTGACATTTGTTTAGTGTGTAATTTGAAAGGACTTTATTCATATTTTATGTTCATTGTTAGTTTTTGTAGTGCACTCTTGGGAGATCACACCTTTATTTCTCTGAAGTAATACTATCAAATTGGTTTCTTTTCATTATTTCAGACAGAGAATTAGTCTTTCATGGGGATGAACCTCCTACATGGTTATCTACTCCAAGTAGACAGCCCTAAAAACAAATACGTGCAAGCAACACTAAATGGACCAAGTAGACCTTATATATTTACATTTTCTTGTGCATATATACTCTCTCGCCCTGTGTGTGTGTGTGTGTGTGTGTGTGTGTGTGTAACAATAAAGAGGGGCCATGAATTTGGGAGGGAACAGAGTGGGTGACATGAGAGGAGTTGAGAAAGAAGAGGGAATGGGAAATTTTATAAATACTTTTCACATGTCTGAAAATTTAAGAAATAATTTTAATTTAATGAAGAAATAAGCAAAGGAGTCATCTGTGCATTAATCTGTTGACAAAGTTCTGCTATGCTAAATAACCTTTAATATAATGAAAAATAGACAGTAACACGCATTCAAATTTTTCAGTAACAAAAGATCATTTTAATTTGTTTAAAGTCCTTTTCAAAAGGTATCTGTCTTCTTATTGACTCGAATGATTTTAAATGTTTTGTGGCTATAGTTTTACTCTGAAATTGTTCGAAACTGCACAGAGAACATGCTGATATGAGATGAACCAACATCATTTTGACTGGAAATTATTGGAAGGGTAAAGATACCATCTGAAATATATGCAATATTATGGTTTAGGGACAGAGCCAGAGACTGATAGAAAGATGGGGGGCTGTTGTTAAAGAAGGGGTGTGTTTACTGAGAAAAAAAGAAAAGGGGACTGAAGGGTGATTTTTTTTACCTCAGTTTTTTTCATTGTATTTATTTATTTATTTGCTAACTTTCATCACTGTATTTCTCTTGGTGCTTATGGGTCACAGAACTATGCTGCTTTTCCTATTAATAAATGTAAAAAGTTAAAATTTATTGTAAAGTTTATATTCTGTATTCCCCTTTCCACACCTGTGCACCTGCTTCCTAGATCTTCTGTTCCCTGTGTAGCAGGGCTGTCAGTGTCTTGTGTATCTTTTCAGAGATATTTGGCATATACATACATATTTTAAGAGCCATTGTACATTGATCAGTATTGGAAAAAGCTCACATCAATTATCCCTCTTCCAATATGAGGATGTGCTGTACAATATTTAACTGATTCAACTGATGTGGGAAGTCCTTCTGTATATGTGTTGCTTTTATTGGTTAATTAAGAAGCCACTTTTAGCCAATGACTTAAGAGAATAAAGCTAGGTGGGGAAAACTAAACTGAATGATAGGAGAAGGAAGCCCAAATCAGTGAGAAACCATGTAGCCCTGCCAGAGATGGACGCTAGGCAGAAGAACCTTGTCAGTAAGCCACAGCCATGTGGCAATACACAGATTAATAGAAATGGGTTAAATTAATATGTAAGAGGTAGCCAATAAAAACTGAGGAATGCAAGTTTGAGGAGTTCTTTGTGATCTCTTGGGAGTGGTGATCTCTTGGGAGAGGAAATATAGACCACAATAAATTTTCTGCTATTCAGCTGGAGATGAGATGGGTTGGGTTGAATCTGGAAGAACAGGAGAGGTATGGATCTCCAGTTTATGTGTTTCCCTGGCAGGAGGGACCCTCAGGATAGGTGGGGCCATCTGTTTAGGTTGGGGCTGGGATAAATCAATGTGTGGTAGGGGTTAGAAGGAGAAAATCTGTGGGATCCACAGGAGATGGGAACAGCTAGGTAGGGAAGGCTTCCATGGGTTTCTGTTCCAGAGCTGGGGATGAGACTAGGGGATTTGATCTAGGGTACAAAGGAAATTTTCTTCCATAGAAACATGTGAAAAAAATCCATCTAAAAGGCCTCAACCCAAATTTCTGCAGTTGTGTCTGTGGTAAGTCTCCATTTCTAAGAGATAAAAAAAAAATGTACAATAAATTTTCAGCTTTCATGGTTGAGGTTTAGAAGATTACACAGATGATACTTTGGTCCTCGTCATTTGGGCTTTCATCCGTTTAATTGAATTCCACTGTTCCATTCTTGCATATTCTGCAGTTGTTGCTTCATGTG